ATATATATATATATATATACATATGTATGTGTGTTGTGTGCGCATGCGTGTGTGTACATACATATATACAGAATGAACATACATATATGACAGAATGGAGAAATTTCGTTTTCCTTTCCAATTCTATCGGATAGACTTTTTGCACATATAAATTAGTTAAATAAACTATGTAGCCAATATAATCAATTATGTCTAATACTATTGACAGAACAAGATAATCATGGATCTACTCATTTTTACTTACATTTAATTCCCGATGTTCCATCTTATACACAGAGTGTCCCATTTTAAAGGTTTGAGTTTTCACTCAAATATAATATCTCAGAAACACTATATTAAATTGAAAAATGTTTCAGACAAAAGTTTTGTGATTTTGAGGAGGACATAAGATAATATCATTGATTTGACCTTGGGTGGCATTGTCAAGATCAGGATAAGGTTATTTTGAATTTTTTTAACGGAACCTCCCATTTTTTATTGGATATTCTTGTAACTTATCTCGAGAGTTTTTCAGAACTCTATAATAAAATATTTTTTCATTAAGTACTTTGCGAGTTATAAGACTTGAAAGTTACAATAACGTCGACATTAGCATTACCCAAAGTGTCCGACTGACGGTTAAAACCTCTTGAATGTTGTTCACGATCATGACCTGGATAACATTGGTCAAGATAAAGGTCATTGGAGAGAGATTGTTTTCTCTTATTTTCATTTTTACATAGAAATGAATTTTATTGCAAAAATGAATAAAAGGAATAATCTCCAATGACCTTGTTCTTGACAATGTTATTCAGATCAATGTTATTCAGATCCTAAACATTCAAGAGATTTTAGCTGTCGGTCGAACACCTTGGGTAATGCTAATGCCGGCAGTGCTGTAATTTGTAAGCCTTATAACTGGAAAAGTACTTAATGAAAATGAACTTAATTAAGTGTTTTGGAAAGCTCTCGAGATAAATTACAAGAATATCTAATAAAAAAATGGGTGGCGAATAATTGAATTTAAAAAATTCAAAAAATGACACCTACCGTGACTTTGACAACGCCACCCAAGGTCAAACCAATGATATCATCTTATGTCCTTTTTGAAAACTTACAAAACTTTTATCTGAAATATTTTTCAATTTAATGCAGTGTTTCTGAGATATTTGAGTGGATCCTTTAAAATGGAACATTCTACAAGTGCGAATCATCGTAATATCCAGAATAACATCCGGAATGTAGAATTATTCTTAAAGAATCGGCATTAAAATAGAATGTGTGTCTCTTACATACATATGTATACAACATTTGTATATCCATTGCATGGAAAATGAAATTCTCCGACAGTTTAGAAAATTATTCCAATTCACACATATTCACTTGAAGTACACAGTGTTTTATTTGAAATAAACTGGTGTTGCAATCTTCTAAAGCACTAGAAAAAAAAAATATTATAGGAAAGATTGAACTACGATCTAAAAAAAAAAAAACAAAAGATTTAATCGCACAATGATTTTAAAAAGAAAAAGAGAAAAAGAAAAATATTTTCTTCTGTAGCATTATTTCTGTTAATTTAGAGTTGAATGAATCAATGTGTATTGTTCGAAATAGTTTAATACTAGTCAATTACGTTACAATCAACAATATGATTGCGATATCTGTATATTATTATTGTGATATAATCTTTAGATTTGAACTGCATTCTGCTCATAAATATTTTGTAAAGAATGTACCTGCTGTCAATTATCCGCACGTATTTACATAGCAAAAAGACATACACTATTCGCTCCCTTGCATTGCGAAGAAACGTTTGGCCGTCTTTTGAAATCGCTGAAGAATCGCTTAAGAAAAGTTGCACACACAGGCGCAGGCAATATCGCGATATATCAGATAAGACTGATCACACAAACTCACTGTGCTTATAACTTTTTGCTATACATAATATATTAAATTTGCTAAATATAACTCTGTTTGTCGTCACACATGAATGTGAGAATAAACGATACAAACAGATTTATGAGCTATATTCCTTTCGTCCCCTAATTTGCATTAAAAAACTAATAGTTTGCGTGCAATGGGTCGCAGCACTATAAACGGTTCGATAATTGGCCGAGATCAACCATTTCGGTATCTTCTATGGTATTAGGTCCCATCATATGTTGCCTGTGTTGTTGTTGGAGGTCTAACGATGGACGCAAATGAACATCCATCGTTCTAGGCGAGGAGAAACCATGTAGACTCGCTGCCGCACCAAAACCCGTATTGTTTAATAGTCCTCTACGCGGGCTTCTAGCATTGACAACTTTTGGCTGTGCATACATTTCCTCCAGGACACTCGGCGCTACGTACGTGAAACCCTGAAATATCATGTTTGCAGATTCACTGAGAGTACTCTCAACCGGTGAATCGACCGGCACAGTCGCCGTAAATTGCTCGTCAAATTGAGACGTATCGTCAGCACTCTTTAGGGACGGCTTGAATGGTGGATCCAACTTCCGAGCAATCACATCCTGCCAATTTATGTGCTTGAAAAAATTGTGGTTTTTAATTTGTTCAGCATCCTCTGGACCTGAACCCAATCTTTGAACAACTTGTCTCTTTAAGAGTTTTCGAATGAGATCTCGGGCATCTGGCGTCAGATATTGTGGAAGACTCAGCTTTCCACGTAAGATTTTTTCGATAGTTTTTCTTCGATCGTCTCCGGTGAACGGTGGCATTCCTGTAAGCATGTCGAACATCAAAGCGCCTAAACTCCACCAATCTACAGCTTTACCATGACCGCTTCTAGTTAGAATCTCTGGAGCCATGTATTCTATTGTTCCACAGAATGTATGTGTCACTGTGCCTTCTTGTATGTGTTCTTTGCAAAGGCCAAAATCTGTTAACTTAACATGGCCCTCGGCATCCAGCAAAATGTTCTCTGGCTTCAAGTCCCTATATATTATTCCCTGATTGTGAAGATGTTGCAGGGCCAGGATAATTTCAGATAGATAAAAGCAAGCTGTATCCTCTAAGAAGATACCTTCACGATCAAGATACGTAAAAAGCTCTCCACCACATAGATACTCCAAGATAAGATATAATTTACCACCAGTTTGGAAGGCATACATGAGATTTACGATAAATGGATGTTTTACAGCCTCCAAGATATTCCTCTCAGCCTTGGTATGTGCAGTATCTTTCTGATTTCGTATAATAGATGCCTTGCGTAGTACTTTCATAGCAAAGATACTGCCTTTATCCTTTCCAGTGACTTTTCTTACCTGGAAGACCTTTCCATAGCCACCCTCTCCTAAAATCTTACACAATTCAAAATCTTGTGGACCAGCCTTCTCTTGACCAGGATTGACATTTTGCTCAGACAATTGAACTCTCTCCAAGTTGTCAGATCTAAAAATTAAGCCAAAATACTTCTGTTCTTTAATAACAATCAATAACATAAAGGAGACTCTATTAAAGAATGAAATGCTTACTCTAATATAGCGCTTACGGTTGCGGCATGATTATATTCCTCCTAAAAATGAAGAAATCAAATTAAAATGTTGCAGTTGAGTATAACTTATATCTTATCACAGACACATGCACACTACTTCTCTATTATCAATCACATCGTCATCTGACTCGTCCTGATTTGCAGCATCCCCATCATGCAACTCAATATCGAATACTCCCGCCATCCTAGATAGGTCAAATTCACATTCAGGGAGATTCCAAATTAGTTAAGAAGAGCACATTCAGTTTTTCAATGTGAAACTCTGCATCGAAGCTGGACGAAAAGTCGAGTGACATAAGAACATGTACTGGAATGTACTATAGAAACGTGAGAACCGCCAAGCGTATTTCGAAAGGACTTACCTCAAACTAATCTGACGTAATGATAAATCGATCGTTTTTACTCAAAATGATTTTTAAAATGATCGCGCAAAGCTGAAAAAGGTTCGCCGCCAGATTTTAACGGCGATACATGAGTCTACATATGTAATCGCAAATACACGCATGAACCACAGAGTTATCTATATTATCTATCATTACCAATATGCAAGGTTAATATCATAGTATAAGAATGGTCGCAGCAGACTCTTCTTCTTCTTTATTTATTGGCTCTCGCCTCCAAAGAAAATGATAGGAGGATGATACGGCTAAATCACATCCAAATTTAGAGACTAAGCGGTTGTGTTGTAAACGGACATAAAGGATATATTATAGCACGCCAGAGATGGAACAGAGTAGCGATCATGTAACTTTTTCCCTAGAGCGGATGTGAAAAGTGAAAATTCTTTGAATGTATGTGTACAATGAAGTGAAAATTTTTTATGTACATAAAAATGTTTATAAAAAATTTTCACTTTTTACGTGAGTATGTTCCAAAACTTGACTCTATCTTTTATCTTTATTCAACATTTGATAACTAACAAGGATAAAATGACTCGAATTGACAGAATTGAATTTTAAAACGCAACCCAAGACGCTCGCACCGACAACCACGAGCAATTGCTGAATTCACATTGGATCCAGATGTGCGTCGTACGACGCACTGCAACCAATCAGAAAATAGGATTTTGCTTGGTATCGTCGGCCTAGTTACCACTGAGGGTTTAAAACCGAATCAGAATGTAAGAAAACCAACCAATTACAGTTGAGTACAGTTGAGTTCCCTTGTTACTGTCGAACGACAAGGGAATGTTCGACTGTAGTTAATTCATATAGCGTTTTCGGTCCGACAGAGTTTGCACTAACTTGAGTTAGAAAATGCTTCGTTATTGGTTGATGTTACACGCTCAATCAATAGGAGAGCTCGAAACATCATTGATTGTTAAGTATCAGAAGACACTCAAGGAGTGCAGGAGGTAAAACCTTTAAGAGACGATAATTAACCGCCATATTATATCACCTATATAGCTATATAATAAAAGAGTAGCGCTGATCGAATTAAAAACAAGGCTTTACCTTTTAAATTTCGCATGACCAGATCAAACGACGGAAGGCAACAGAAAGCCCATGGAAGTGTTATAGTTTTGCTTATATATAACATTATTAAAGATGAAAAACATGAAGTTTAGAACAAATTTAACAGCTTTAATAAATTCGTCTTTCAGTAAACAACAATTCCTAGAAATATACCGCTAATAATCATTAATTGTTTGCATAGTTAATCGGTATTAGTAAAAAAAAACTAATCACATCCAATGAAATCGAGGTATGTTCATTATACAAATGAAAGCCATTAAGCTTCTCAAAACTATTCTCTATATCCAGCAAACGAGAATGGATTGAAATGAATTGAAATGGATTCAGATTTTCAGGAATATTGATTCACGATTTTATTAAAATGGATGCTTTTCAATCCTGAATACATTTTTATTCATTTATAGGAATTGCATGGAGCATATCTCTATGCCTTTCAATCTAAAAATAATATTATTTTTTCTGTGCATTGTGAATACTGTTCAATACAATATTTTGAATAGGAAATGCAATTTTTCAATCCAATTACATTCAATTGAATCTAATTGAATCCAATTGAATCTAATTAAATAAAAAAAAGTATTTGCTATTTAAATACGCATTCGGATAGAAAAAAATTTCACTCCATTTTAATTCATTCTCGTTTGCTGGGTATGACTGCTTTAGGAATATTTTTTAGAATTATGCTTTGTAGAAAAACCGCTAACTGATAAAAAAGTCTATTCAATGAGGAAACTATCAAACGAAAAGAGCAATTCTGTTTATGGTCGGTATTCATAGGCTAGTATTCATAGTCAGATCTTATATTCAAGACCATCTTAAGTACGGTCTTAAAAAGTCACGAACCAATCAGAAGGCATTAACATCTTAAGACATTACTTAAGACGGTCTTGAAATAAAATTCGATTATGAATATCGGCCATAGTCATATCTTATATTCAAGATTTATCATCGTCTTAAGTAATTTACAGTTTTAAAAAGTCACAAACAAATCAGAGGACCGCATTAGTGACTTAAGACATTCCTTAAGACAGTCTTAAAATAAGAACCGACTATGAATACCTATGTATCTTTGGCAAGATATAAGCTCTTTGGTAAGATATAAGCCATCATTGCAAAGCAACATCCTTTATTTTGAATTGGATATATAATCCGCATCCATCCACTTCAACATTCCCTGCAAACTTAAAAATATAAATTCTCTACTTCATAAACACAAATTCACTGCTAATGTAAAGAATTTGTATGCTTAAAGTGAATTTTTGTTTATAAAGCAGTGAACTTTTGTTTGTAAAGCAATGAATTTGTGTTTATAAAGCAATGCATTTGTATTTTTAAAGCAGTGAATTTGTGTTTTGAAGCAGAAAATTCATGTTTTTAAAACAATGAATTTATATTTCTAAATATAAATTCATTCTAAACAGTGAATTTGTGTCTTAATGCAGATACATAGCGCTATTAAGCCGGGATGACAGATATCTTAACTTCTAAAGTCTCCAATTTTAACACTTAATAACTCGATTCGTGAGGCTGACCGCCGTGTTTTTTTTTTGCCGGGTTCTTTCGTTTTGAATAAAAACATTCAAAACAGTCGAATAAATGCATTTTTATTAAGACTTGAGGTAGGAGAGGAGGGTATTCTAAATAATTACCATTAATTGGATACGCGGTTACGCGATACGCAGCAAATATTTGTTAGTTTTTCGTAGGACTTTACCTTTAAGCCGACGACACAAGATGCTTGTTTTCCTGCTGGATTACTAGCTGGATTGCTAGCTATTCCAGCAGTGCCAATATGGCAGCTATTACGGTGGCGAAATTCTAATCCAGCTAGTAAGCCAGCAGGAAAAACAAGCATCGTATGCCGCAGGCATTAGTATTGTTCATTTTGTCTCTCGAGATTTGCTCAGGATCGCTCTGAATGAATCCACTGTACTTGAAATATAGAATTCGCATTACGTACGACATCCGTCATATGATGGAAATATAAGGTGAACTATTCTGGATGCGCAGTCATTCAAAAGTAGTGAGAAGCAATGAACCAATCAGCTTTTACCCAAGATGCAAAATTCAGTATGGCCGACACTGAGTATTGTCGCGTGTTGCTATCGTATGTGTCGTATCGTCGTAACTTACAAGTGTCAATAAAGTATCAATATGCCAATTGTTTCGTAAAAAATTGTAAAAGTCGCACAAATTATGTGTTTAATAAGAATGTAAAGTACTTTTCATTTCCTAAAGATCAAGAGTTGCGATTGAAATGATTGGAGGCTTGTCGCAGAGACGATAATTTTAAGATTACGCATGATAATAACTATTATTTCCATTAATTTCAAAAATTACATTGAAATTAAATTGTTTCTAACGTAAAAAATAAAATCATAAGCGTTTCTGCTTGGGTAACAACTAATTGATCGAAAAAAGAATTTTATGCCACACCCTCAATGCCGCCATTATGCGCAATGGTTCACCTTGTATATTTCCATCATGCGTTATATCATTTGACATTCAGGCCTGAAGGTCGATTCGGTATCTTCAAACAAGGTGAATGTATCTTGAAACGAGATGAAAATTACAAAAGTGAGCAAATTTACTAAATGTTATTAATTTAGTAAATTGAAATGAAATTATTAGTATTCTAGTAAATTCGCTCACTTTTGTAATTTTCACCTCGTTTCAAGATACAGAATTGATCCCCTGGTCTGGAAGAGGTTGTAATATGTAGTGCGTATAATGTTAATTTTTCGTGTCGGTTGTCGATGTCGGCTACTGGATGTCGTTTAGATTGGTTGGGTCTCATCTTTTACGACATCCGACAAGCGTCAGCCCATTTGATTATATACGAGACCCAGTTCAATATATCGTATGTCAGCGTCGGTTTGTCGAACGCATGCGTATTCGATTGTCGGCTCGTCGGCTGTCTCATCGAAAGAAACAATCGACCATGATTGGTTAATTTCTTACGGCACAACATACAACAACGTCTCCCGACTGATTGTAGATAGGCCTCATTATTACGATGAATGTCGGACTTCGTATGACTACGTCGTACATATAGTGTGAATCCTACATTTCAAGTACGCTCGGAGCGATCCTGAGTAGATCCCGAGAGACAAAATGAACAATACTAATGCCTGCGGCATACGATGCTTGTTTTTCCTGCTAGTTTGCTCGAGTAGCTCTCGAGAGACAAAATGAACAATGCTTTTACTATGTGCTGCTAGCCTGCTCGCGATTTAATGTGATTGATTGGATCTATAGGTGCGTTCGGCATTGCAAATCGGAAGCGTCCGTTTGCTTTTTTTACCTCAAAAATCGTTCGGCAACTCGCATCTTTCTGCTACATGTCATCTCATCTGCGTACTTCGATATTAACATTTCTAGAGTCAATCGAACTGCTCGACCCACTCCGGAGCGAGCTCGAAGAGCTAATGCAGATTTTCGCGCCTAAATTAAATTCATAACCTGTATATTTACAGAATAATGTATCCAACTGATAACATATAACGTACATTCATCTCTTTTAATATTTTTATTTTACAAATAGTATATTTGAACTGTTATATAATGTCTGAGTCTACAACGCTATCAAACAAATGCTATCAATAGAAATTGATGGATTGTACATTATGTACAATAATTAACGAGGAAAGTAAGTTTTTAATTCTTTTCTTCTTTACGAATTTGAAGTTACGTATTTGAAAACAAAGAATTTGTTAGTTAATTTTTAGACAAAATTTATGTTGCACATATAGAATGAAATAAAATCAAATTATATTAATATATTAAAGAATATAAATTAAGTGATATAACTTATAAATTGCAGAAATTTATTTTGCAATGTGTAGTATTTTCTTTTAAAAAAACACATCTTGCATATGAGTCTGCTACATTCATGTGTAACGATTTATTTTTAATATATAAGACTGTTAACAGTTTCTAATAAAGCGAAAGAAGTTTTTAATTAATAGGATATTTTTTATTTATTCATAAAAATAAACAATTTCATTTTATAATCTAACCTTAAAGGACCGTTTATAGTTCTGTAGCGTTCGGAATTAATTCTTGGCACTCGGATTGCTCGAAGATCACGTGATCAAACTCGCCATCTGTTAGCTCGGCATCTCAGATTTACGGATTGCCGAACGCACCTTATAAGTTGTTTTCATTTGCTCGGCAAGTAGGCTTAGCCACTTTGTCAATTTGAACGCGCCCAATGGCTGCGTTCAGCAGAACGTTTATTTTGCAACTGTTGGAAATTTTCTTCGCGCTGATTGGGATTATGCTTATAGATCAAGAGGAATAATCCTATCTCAGCAGAGAATTATAAAACGGTTGCAAAACTGTTGTGTTCCGCTGAACGCAGCCAATGTTTCATTCTCGAGTTCGATCTTCTTCTTTTTACTTCGTGGCTATATAACTAAATAATCGACTGCGCATCGCTCAAGTTCTCTTATCTCTCTTCTTTTACCATGCTGCCTACTGTTAGCGGACAATGACTATTTTCAGATGTCCTTTTGAATTTTCCTTTTGAATGATAAGTGGAAGATGATAAATCGGATAAAGATTGAGAATATCGAGAAAATATCGAGAGAAAATCGTGATCGATGTATAATGCAAAGTTAACTAATCGATTCGAGGGATGTTGGTGAATTTACGTGGGTGCATTCATTCCATCTGCTGTTTGAAAGGATTGAATTAAACACAAAGTGAGGTGAGGTTAGTGAGATTTCGTTTTACTCGCATTAAATTTAATCGATACTTAATCACGTATCTAGGATCACAGGCATTTTATTGGAATTTCGTACAAAATCTTTTTAAATACTTTCTGATAATAATTACGCCAATATTTTTAGCTAGGTTAGGCTAGGTTAGCTTAGATTAAGTTGAATTAAGTTAATTGAATCGAGGAGAACAGCTAAGCGTTTTAACGAACGTCTAATAGAAATAAAAATTATTACGCAGAAAATTAGACGTAAACGTTTTCATTTGTCCATTAAATTATACATATCTCCAATTTTCGCTAATCAGGTATCTCGTAGAAATTTCGCGCGAGCGCGATTGTGCGCGTGCTCACATTGTTTCGTCGCATGCGTGCGCGAGTTCTGATATGTTCTGAAAACAAAGTACCGGTTTCCGCGGCAACCGCGATTTATCGATTCGCCTAGGCGTCGCCGGCAAGGACGACGAATAGTCATCACTGTCACCAATGTATAGTTACTGCAGCTGCTACAGCACTCCGAGTTCCACTTGCCGTGGCCAGTTAGAGTAGTTGTTGCTGTCCGAAGTCCCAAGTTAGTTTCACGGACGGCAACTTCCTCTTTCGAGAGGCGATTCGTAAAATGACGAGGATCCGTTCAAGATCGTCTACGAGTGGAGTGTCACGCAGTGGAACGGCGAAGGAAACGCGAGAAGAGGAAAAACCTCGTCGAAATTTACGTTACATCGTTAGAGGAAGAATAACGTTGTGTCGCGCGGAAACTTAATGTTATTTATCGTGCTTTTCTAAATCGCAAACAGTTTTTGTGTGTGTGTGTGTGTGTGTGTGTGTGTGTGTGTGTGTGTGTGTGTGTGTGTGTGTGTGTGTAGAGCGTGTGTACGGAAACTGTAGATACAAAGGAAAGAATTGACATGCCTTTTCGGAGAATCGATAGTGTTAAAAGATCACTATCATGTTTTTAAGATGATTATAAAAGTAAGGAAATGAATGACAAACGACAAGGAAAAAAAGAGAGAGAAAGCGAAATAAGAATCAAGTTTAAATCACCATTCATGATGTAAAAACATGACGTGAAAGTGGATTATTTGAAGCATATATAACTTGGTATATATAAAACGAGAGTGTTTTAAAATCTTTAAATGATGAATATTAGCTGTGTTAATTAAATAATATTCGATAGAAAAATTAAGTATATAACACAGAGATGTATAATATAAGGATAAGGTAGAAGAAGAAAATGCGTGTGGCAAAAAGAAATAAAAAAATTGAAAAGAAACAAGAATGAGGAGAGAGGGATGGAGGATTAAACATCGTAGAACGAAAGCAACTAGAAGTGAATGAAATAAGAAGCAATAAATGGAGGATCGAGAGTGGAGAAAAAGCGATACTGGTAATGGTAAACGAGAGGTGTGTAAATAATAATAGGATTGGCCGGTGCTGCACCACCTGGCGGGTGGAGGATACGCAGCCAGGACACGTGCCACCGGAGCACAGGAGATTCCGACGCGTTCATGGGCTGCAGTTGCCACTGCATCCTCAACAGATTATCGGTTGGGTGCTGCTGACTGTCGTGTTTGTCGGTACTTTCACTGTGTTGCTGACGACACCGCCGTTACTACCCGAACTGCGCTTCATCCTCTCATTATTGTTTGCCGCATTGTTTCTGTTGCAGCTGTCGAGTCATTTGACAGTATTGCTGCTAGATCCGGCCGATCCTGAGGTTCGCGCACGATCAGTTCGCACGATCGTACCGGAGTTTGACCGTACGAAGCATCGACATGTCATCGAAAACGGCCGATGCCACCTTTGCAACATAACGACGCGTGGCCGACGGACCAAGCACTGTTCCATCTGCAACAAGTGCATATCGCGTTTCGACCATCACTGCAAATGGTTAAACAATTGCATCGGCGGCCGTAACTATCCGGCATTCCTAGTGTGCCTGACATCGACGCTCGTCGCTGCGCTCGCGGTTACCGCGCTCGCCCTCGGCGAGCTCGTTAACGCACACTTATTCGTAAACAATAATAACTGGAACGAAACATGGGACACGACGAGCATGAATAACGGCACAGCGATGCCACCGTTGTTGCCGGTGACCGGAACCGGCACCGGCTCGATCATCCTCGTCACCGTCATCGGTGTTCTTTCGGCCATCGCCGCAGTGATGCTCATACACCTCTGCTTCTTTCACGGCTATATCGCCTGCCTCGGTCTCACTACGTACGAATACGTGCGCAACAAACGGGAGAAGGGAGGCACTGCTGCCGATTCTAGAACAACGTCTAGAACAACTTCTGGCCTGGTATGTGGCATACCTTATGCTTGTACTGCCGCTGCCGATGAGGAGGATCGCGTCAACCGGACTGGCGCGCGAGGTTTCTATTCTCGCTTCTGCGAGAATGGCCCTTTAAAACCTTGCAAAACTAATACTACCAGCGTGACTACGGACGTATACGTTTGCTCGACGCAGGAATGCCCCGAGGAAATCCGGAGTGATGAAGCAATGGCGAACGTTAAGGATGTCTCCTCCAAGACGAGAGGTGGTCGGAATTTTCGACTTTGTTTCTCGTACGATTCGCGCACCACCGAGACTTCCATTCAAGTCTCTTCCTCGCAGACGACGGAGTCGTTGAGGAACCATGTGCGTGATTCGCCGGATACCAAATCATCCTCCACGCCCTCGCCGGTGTCTTGTTGCTTCTCCATCATGAACCATCCCGATGGCGGCAGCAGGCATGATGGAAACGGACGAAAGCGTCGCACCGACAGAGATAATAATAGGATCGAGCCCACAAAACGATCCTGCGGGACAATGAGAAGAATACAGACCTTTCTGCAGGCTCGTCTGAGAAAAGGCTCGAGACAACGGTTAACGACAACCTCGTCCTCGGCGATCGCTCGTCATTGCGGTAACAAGATCATCCCGCAGCCAGGCAGTCCTCCAGACGTCGCACTTGCTTTAACCGAATATCAGGATCGGAATCATCAGGTCGAAGCATTGACGACGGAATTGACACCATCGGATTACCCACGTCCACCGGCGAGGCTACCCACCTTAGATTTTTCCCGCACTGTTCGCAAAATTAGAAAAGTACCTTCGAATACCACTGATATTTCCGTCCTAGGCCAGATGCCCTCCATGATATCTAAACGAAATCAAACTCACCTTCGCACACGGCGAAGCGGGAGTTTTTCCAAGAAGAGGCCGCACTTCAAGATCGGCTCGCATGTCGTAACGCAGACCGCTCAACTGTCGCCCATACCGGAGTCGGAGCTTTCGAAACCAGCTACGCCGAGATCGCCGTCGCGATCCAATTCTATATTCGCTTTCCCACCATTACACGAGTAATGTTGTCTGAGAGCTGTACTTGTACTATTTAGAAATTAGAAATATCAAGCCGAATCAAAAGCGATTTGGCAAGAGACGTCCTCCTCACAATCCTTGTCGTATATACGAGTCTGCTTTTTTTTTAAAATAACATCATTTAATATTATTAATTAAACTTGTATATGTAATATGTATATGTAAAATTAAATATAAATTTTAATAATAAAATTATATATTTTAATGTGATGCAAAAACTGACAGACAACACAGTGTCTTGGAAATAAAATTCGATTTCTTGTGGGCAAGACTCATATATACGATGTATTATATCGCTCAAGCAAATAAAGTAAATGATTAAATTTCTGTTTGATATCGATCAAAAATTTGTCCAAGCTTTTTATAATTTTACATGATGAAAACGTCCGAGGGCATCCTGTATAATTGACAATGTGCCATGCCCAACCAATTATACTACAATTATAATACAAATGCTTTGTCTCGTAAGAAAGAAATGGATATGATTGTAAGAAATATCAGTTATAATATCAAGTATGGTTAAATATTGTGTAAAGATAAAAAGTTCAATTTTTATAGAAATTGAGATCATTTTAACAATCGACCAGGCATAATACCACGTGTAGTACGACGCAATTATAGTAGTTTCAAATCGTATGTCAGTTTGTACCATATGGCGCAATTGATATCACTTTATTGAATTTGTAATACCAGCAAGTGATCACATTATTGCATTGTGACATACGAGTGACAAGTTTCCTCCCTTTCCCTTTGGGGGAGGGGGAAAAAAAGTTAAATGTATAACTTGGCTCCGAGCCTTGTGTAGTCGCAAATAACAGCATCGCTCATGCGATCTTCATAATGCGCGCAGATAATGTCCGAGACTATGGAGTCACCTGACAAAGAGGATGCTGTCTCGAAGAAGAGGACTAACGTTTGGGAAGATTTGGGTTCACCGCGTTATATAGTCGCACCAATGGTGGATGCGAGCGAATTGGCATGGAGATTACTCAGCAGGCGACATGGCGCCCAGCTCTGTTATACGCCAATGTTGCACTCCTCCGTATTCTGTCGGGATCCCAAATATAGGCGAGAAGCTCTCGCTAGTACTAGCGAAGATCGTCCACTGATTGTACAGGTCTGCTTGACACAACTATAGGATACAATTGCGATTTCATAGACTATAAAATTAGTCCTCGACTAATTACATGAAGTTTTTCGGGATTATACATATACAAAGGAACATTTAACAAAAGAACAAAATTTAAAAGTGTAAAGGGTATAACTCCTTGAAATTTAATTAGAATTCCTCGAAATCTCAAGTATGTGACCAAACAATCGTGCGACTGAAATAATGCGCTTGATCCAAGATTCAATAGATGTTTTAAATAATTTTTCACAAACATTTTCGTACAAGTAAATATTTTAAATGCGCAACACAAAACGAAGGAGAAAAGAACATTTGACATTAAATTTTGTGCAATAGTAATTCATTTTCCAGTTTTGTGGCAGTGATCCAAATATATTATTGGAAGCTGCACGCTGGGCTGAACCATACTGTGATGCAATTGACATCAATATCGGTTGTCCTCAAGCAATTGCAAAGCGAGGACATTATGGAGCTTTTTTACAAGATGATTGGGATTTGTTAAAAAAAATCGGTACATATGCATTTTATAATAATTATACACTTGAATAGATTTCAGACTCCAATACGATAATGTAATATAATAAATCTCTTATGTATGTAGTGTCGACATTAAAGAATGGATTATGCATACCTGTCACCTGTAAATTACGAGTGTTCTCAGAAATCAATCGTACTGTACAATATGCTTGTATGCTAGAGAATGCAGGTGCTAGCTTACTCACTATCCATGGACGTACAAGAGAACAAAAGGGTCCATTAACTGGATTAGCGTCTTGGAAGCACATTAAAGCAGTAAGGTAATTCCTGTTTTCCATTTCATTTGAAGCATTCAATTCATTACACATATATGCTTTTGATATATTTACAATCGAAATCCCTATATTTTATGCTTCTCGTTTTTTAATAATTGATATACTTCATCAGGGATGCCGTAAAAATTCCTGTGATCGCCAATGGCAACATACAATGTATGCAAGATGTACAGCGGTGCATTGAGGAAATTCAAGTGCAAGGTGTGATGTCAGCAGAAGGGAATCTTTATAATCCATACATATTTGAGTCTCATTATCCCGCCTGTTGGGAACCTGCTCTGGAATATCTGGAACTTGCAGAACAATATCCAGTACCAGCATCGTACATCCGTGGTCATTTATTTAAACTCTTCCACCATGTGTATGTATTGATTTTTCGATCATGTCGACTTATAAATAGCAAAACAATTCCCAAACATACGTTCATCATACAGCATGCTTTTAACTAGAGAGTAGACTTTGTTTAGCAGAAAATCAAGAAGAAAGAGAAAACTTGGCCACCAACTCCACTTTGGAAGCTTTTAAAAATGTCGCATATGCCTTGAGGGATCGTTATCTACCGTATCATGAAGGACATTTGATATGGCAGACGGGAAAGACAGGTAATGACTTGACATCTACAAAATATTATTTGCCTATTTGTTACACGTTCATTAAAAAAATCTTTTCATATTTTTAGATTATAATTTAGAATTACCACCGTGGTTGTGTCAACCTTACGTACGAGAGCCACCACAAGAGTACACACAAAAAATACAGGTAGATGAGTCAAATACGATTAATTGCTATATTTTTCTGTTATATTATGATTGAAGAAATGTTCTTTCAAAATGATATTTATGAATTTTCAGGATGGTTTACCTCGGAAACGTGAATATAGAGACGAGGAAGGAAACGAAATATCACGAAAACGTTCAAAAAAACTTAAGAGGATAGCGCGTAGACCGAATAGAACAACTTCGATTCCTAAAAGAAATTCAGATCGGTGTTATGCCTGTCCGAATCCTCTGGTTAGTTGGAATTGTTAAATATTTTCAAAAAAGATAAAAATATAAAAAAAAATAGAAATACTTTGAATAGAAAAAATTCTAAATTACTGTTACTTCAAATTGTAGGGTTTTAAATGTGAATATAAATTGTGTCGTCAATGCTGCAGGAACAAATGTTATATAGAAAATTTAGACTGTGCTGGTCACAGAAATCTAACTAAAACTAGAAGACAAATGGCGAA